TCTTGCTAGATTATTCTGCACATTAAATATTTCATTTGCAGAAAAGTCTGATGCATCTCAGGTGTCTCCGTGGAAGACAAGAAATTCAATGTGATTCACCTTTGCCTCTACTATTCAAGTGTTACAGCTTTGGAACAAAGTAATGAGGTAGATGAAATGTCAAGAGAGCAGACCCTCCCATTGACTGGAGGCCAGCAGAAACCAGTAAGTAGTCCCACTGAAGAAACCTACTGGTAGTCACATAGGAATGTTCGGTATTACTGCTTGGACATATCCAAGAGAATATCTCTTCTAGTACAAACTTTGCCTTCTTTTAAAACATAAAGATGATGAAGCAGAGTTGTATAAACAGCAGTATGGAAGTGTATGATGAGATACTACATGGAAGTAACAAAATTTATTTAACCTGATTATCCATTATTCAACTATGACAAAAGACAGAATTAATCTTGTTAGGATCCCAACCACAGGGAAATTAAAAATTCAGGATCCCCTATACAACGCACAGCCAAAGCTCCCCTGTGGAGAGTTGGCCTGTGCTGTTTGCCAGCAGCATGAAGATCACAGCTACTTTGGGTTTCACAGCCAGCACCTGTCTCCTGCAGTTAACTATCTGTATCTGTTCAGTCCTTTCTTTCTCATATGACAGATGCTCACCTGAGGATGCGGCTGGCACAGTGGGACGGATACTCTGTCTAGAAACTGAAGACCTGAGCTGGCTGTCTCCCTTCACTTGGCTGAAATAGAAACTTGAACCAGCATCTCCTACCTTGCATAGTGTATACCATAACACTGACATATTTGGTTCTGTCCCACTGAAACTGTTCTTATTCAAAACACCTAAATGACTGCTGGTCAGAGAGCTCTTGAAAAATATGGAGGGTGAAGACATGTGTGGGCCAGAAGACACAGGACAGATTCTGCTTCACTTTGGTTTAATAAACAGTGATGTCTCTACTTTTGCCCTCCTGGGATGTTTTCCTCCACTTTATAATGCTGTTGCTAGTAACTGTTTAAGAGACTGGGCCCTAACTTTTTTTTTTTCCTCTTATAAATTGTCCTTTCACTGAACAGGTAAGCTACCTTGTCTACTACACTGGTAGAGTTGGCCTTATTGCATACCAGGTGGCATATGACTCTGAAATACTCAAATTAAGTCAACATTGTATCTAAAATTCCTTCAAGGCTTCAACAATTTGACATAAAAACCGCTAAAATGCAATGGTCCATGCTCATATGGCTAGAGATGGGCATTAAGGGTCTGTGCTCAAGAGAAAAGCATATTTCTCTAACCCATGGTAAGCAATCTCCCTTCATTCTTCCTTGGGTGATATAGCAGGAACTTGTCAAGCTGTTTTAAAAACATCTTATATTTTATTTAGTCTTGTTGTTATCCTTATTTTAATTTCATTTCAGTATGTGTATTTGATACCTTTAGAATTACATTGATGAGGCAGGTAAATGGAAAATTTGAAGTTTTTTCAATGAAGAAAACAAGCAATCATTACAGGACAGATAGTTTATTATATCTGATCGGTTAACACAGAAAGTTTTAACATGCTTCAATACACATGACACACTCTTTGAATGTCATTCATGCAATGTTTGATTCCTTTTTAAAAGTCTTTGTCAGAAAGACTGAGTCAGATTTGAAATTCAGAAAATATACTAGAATACAATTTTAAATTACTTTAATCTGATAAACAAATCCTCCCTTACTGCAACTTACTGTATTTTAGCAATCATGATAGCAATGTACCGCAAATGTATTCATTATTTTTCCCAAATGCATAACATCTCATGAAGGGCCCTTTGCTTTACCTCAAGACCAAGTTAAAATCATCCAGCCTCATCATGCATCCTGTGTTTCAGGTAAAGTTTCAGATCATCTTGAAGGAAACACCACTTGATGAGATCACCTTGGAGTGCAGCAGAAATAACACAACCTGCCTTGCTACGGTTGTGTCCTATCCCCAGGGGATCCCTTGGCTCCTGCCGGCAGCAACGTGCCAGGTAGTACGTGCCAAGTGGGTACATTGTTCCTCTGATATTCCCAGTCCTAATTCTCTCACTGCTTTACCCATATTTGGTGAGAATGTCTTCTTGGGCCTGTTTCAGTGGAACCATTTATTGTCCCTTTAGTGTTGATAGCTGGAGCATGGGCCACAGCCAATGCTGCATTTCAGTTATTCTTGCCCTTCTGTTTCAGAAGACTTTGGGGAGAGCAGTCCATGAGCCCACTCTCATGTTCTGGGTGAATATCTAGGTGAGGTTCAGAAACGCCATGAGGTGTTCCAGAGCCCCTGTAGAGTCCCTATGTGACAGATGATGGGCTTTCACTACCTAGTCCATAGATGGGACTGTTGTCAGGGAAATAAAACTACATGGAAATGCTAAAAATAAAGCTGACCAGACAAGCTTGAGAGTTTTTAGGCAGAAAACCAAAGCCAGGGAGTGCCATGGATATACTTTATTTATAGAGGCAGTTGATAAGGAGGCATATGATAGTCTAGGGAGAAAATTAAATCAATTTAGCTTAGACAACAATACAATTAGTCCAATCAAAAGCTGGCTTGTGAGCTACTGACGATGGAAAATTATAAATAATTCATTAAGGAGAGAGAAATTGTCTGATGATATCCCACAAGAATCAGTATTGGGCTACCTGTTTAAAGTTTGGATAAATACATCTACAAAATTCTGTCAAGAGTAATGAGTTATTCAAGATACACTTAGAAGAGAGAACAATTTGGACTGCTTCACTAAAGTAGAAAATAACTGATATGTATCACCGTACTAATTCCTGGGGGGGGCAGAGGGGTGGGGGTGTGTGTTGAGATGCTTATGAAAATACGTGACCAATTTTGCCAGCCTTCACAAACCAAACAATTTGGGCTTTTACCTGTCAGTGGAAGCTTTTTTTTGCACATAAGCCTGATGTTACATGTCTCCTTCCAGCAGAATTAGGGTAATAGCTCTAAGAACTGGGATTTAGTTTTATTGGATGGAGAATCCAAAAATCCTTTGCTCCCAATTTTCTCACATTCAGACCTACGTTTCTCAGTATTTCCTTTAATATCAGCCACACTATGTAGCAGCATAAGAGAGAGCCCAGTGCTGTACATCTCTGGGCTGGTATCCAGCCACTCCTTGAAGAATACACAAAATTCTTCTCTATTATCAGGCAGCTCAACATATAGTGGCAACTTTATTAATATACCTGATGAAATTAGACTCCTGCTAGTAATGTCTACAATAGAAAATGGTAATTATTTTCTTTTATCTTCCTTATTACAAGAATATTTTTACTATCTAGTCTCCCATGCTAACACCTCAACTGTGGAAAGCACAGTGCTAATTAGGTAAATGGACTTCATAGAAAAAATTGGGATGGCTGTAGTCACCAATCTCTGACTCCACTATTAATCATTTAAGTCATCCAACTTTTGCAAACCTCAACTTAAAATAAACACCAGCAGCTAAATTCATATATACATCAGTGGTCAAGACTTGTTTACATTTGAAAATGTGGTGAAATAGCCAGAATAACTGTTCCATTGTAAATCCTCAAATGGCCACTATTTTCTGAGACAGCTGCTTCACTTGATTTCTGAAGATAGAGAACCTCTGAGTCATCAAAACTCTCTCCCCTGTCACTGAACAGAGGTTTTCAAATAACTAGTTTTATTTTAGGTCTCTTCCTTGCAGTCTGCTGATTTATCCATTATTCAAGTAACCACATTTTCCTCTGTCCTTGAATTATTTAAACTGTTGTGCATCCAGACAAACACACTTTCCCAGCTCTCCAGTAAGATTCTATTATAAGCAGATATTTGTGTCTAAGCACATGCATCAGTGAACGTAAAGACTTAATATAGTTAACATTATGATCATCCTTGGATGCAAAACCCCATCGATACTATTTATAAAATACTTAGAGCTTTCACTTCACGTTTTATTTGCTAATGACATTTTTTGTTAAGGAGCCAATCTGGCTGTGCCAACTACATATTCTCCCCAAAATTAACCTATGGAACCTCAGGCTGAAGACAAAAATTATATTCATGGTTTAAAACTACCACCTTAATCAGAGTATTATTGTGTTATTATCCTAATACTCAATAATGCATTTCTTGTAGATAATTTACATATGAATCAATGCCCAAGAATAACTGATTCCCCTGATATCAAATAAATTAAGGAACTGAAAGACGTAAATAAAATCTATTTATTTCAAATTATAGCAGCAGCAGCAGGTTTAAAGAGTTCAATCTGTGACTATCATGCAATTGTAATGCAGGGAAAATTAGCTTAGAAAAACTCGTCAAGAAGTTGAAGTAACCTGTTTTTACAGCAGTCGGTCCAAGTAAGTATTGACAGCACCATATCAAAGGCTTAGTCAGCTGCAAAGTGTAATTGAGAAACTCGGTTTTGCTATGTTGAAGAGATAACATCCCAGTTTCAAAATATGTGAGGATGGTTTTGGACTACAGCTACAGAGAGTGTTGTGGCAAAGTTTCTGTGGTGGGAGAGTCATCTCGGCAGAGTCAAGGTGGTTACATTTAAATTTATAATGTAGAATGGCCATTCCAGAAAATACAAAACCTCTAAACTTAGACCATCATGAACAGAAAATACACACAAAGCCATAAGATGTAAATTTGTGGTTTTAAGTTGAATGAGAAATCATTAATTTTATCCTAGGACTTTCCCTATCAGGGCTTTAATCTGCTTGGAAAATTTGACAGCATATCAAGGAGAATCAAAAGAAATAAATTGTATGTCCTAAAACACCCAAATTGTAGAGTGCCTGAACCATGAGAAAGCTGTACAGTGATGCATGCTTCTACAGGCTTTACATCTCTGTGTTTCTGTTAAGGGTTAAGAGGAAAGTGCAAAGTAATTTATGCTAAAAATGATCACAATCTCAGCAGGGTATAAACCAAGAAAAAAATTTTGCTTCCAGCTTGCCTCCTCCTGGTTTCATACCGTATACATACTCGGATACTCAATAAACTTCAGACCTGCTATCAGCCTAAGAAGGCAGGGGGCAATCGCAAACACAAGCCGTCCCCTCCTTGGGGCAGCGCGTTTCCCTGCCGCAGCACTGGGAGCTGCAGCCGGGCTGCTGGCCGGGCTTGGCTGCTGCTCTCGGGTCTCGGCGGCACCTTCTCCACTGCCCAGCTCCGCACTAGCCAGAAAAGAGAGAAAGCTCCAGAAACCTGTTTTCTAATATATTTCCAGTAAATCACAGAATCACGGAATCACAAAATGGCAAGGGTTGGAAGGGACCTCTGGAGATCATCTAGTCCAACCCTCCTGCTAAAGCAGGTTCACCCAGAGCAGGTTGCACGGGACATCATCCAGGCGGGCCTTGGCTGGTGTCTTTGCTGACTGGGCAGGGCCAGCATCTTTGATTCTTAGGAAAAGGGGAGTAGAGCAGAGGCTGAGTCCGTTGCAGTGAGCACAAAGCTACACACTAACCTCTCCTTTTCACCACAGCAGTTTTCAATCACTTCTTCTGCAGCAGAACTTTCTGCTTTTACAGATCTATTGATAACTGCAGTTTTGACTGCACTGTTCTCTATTACTCCTTTAAAATTACTTGTGTGATTCGAATGTTGTTTGTTGTTTCAGACCATCCCAGTATGTTGCATGAGTGTTTTGGAACCTGAGACTTGAATACCTGGGTGCATATTGCTCAGGATAGTATCATTCAAATAATAAGGATTTTTTGTACAGTATTTGCAATACTGTTTTTCACAGAATATATGTGTTCACTAATGAAGAGTCTTCACCTCTCACTGAAAATCATGGATGGGACACTAATCAGAGGCCCTTTCAAGCTGCCAAAAATCCCTCTTGTGCCACTGACAAGTTGGATTGCTGATGTCTCCATGTGATTTCAGTGGACCATGGCATCAAGCATACTGTTTATTCAGAGAGCCTGATTTCAAGTTGTTTTGTACATTCCATACATCTTCATGTCAGATATATCTTGGCATAAAAGTAAAATTTTAAAAATATATCAACAGTGGCACACGTTTGGATACTGAGAGTAAAAAGAAGCCTTAGAAAAAAGGATTTATGGATTGCACTTAAAAGCTAGTATTCCCTGAAATGAGAAAGAGAAATCTTAGGGACTTACAGTAACACAGATCATTTCAGAAGTATTTGTTTGGCAAAGGTTTTCAAATTATAAATAAAGTTATAAACGTTTTAAATGGAGCAACTGCCTCAGCAGCTGAACAAATTATCACCAAATGTTTATGAATCTTGTGATACGATAAACGTGTAGCCATAGGATTCTACCAAACCTTCTACATTCTGATACATATTTACTGTTCTTAAGTAATTTAGCTTGTGGTAAGATTTCATTTTCTCCTAATCATTGGACAGAAAAGGCTTTCTGATCCTGAGATAAAATAGTGATGCTTTTTCCAACTCAAACACTTTTAGTAAACACTGTCTGCAATGACAGTTGTGTAGCAACCTCAACTCGCATTTTCAAGATTCATATCTTTGTATAAAACATCACTTGGGGACCTCAGAATATAAAATGATTTTTTTTAAAAAGTGATCAAGATTTAAACTATACATGGCTTTTACTATATTGATTATACTGGAAAGTTGTTCCAGACTGCGCTGCTTTGATGGATAAAACTCATCCTGACTTCCCAGCCTACCTGTATGCCTGGACAGTCTGGATCCATCATCTCCCTTGTCAATTAGATTAAGTAGTACTTACAGCACTTTGCTTTTTCTCAGCTCTGTTATATTTCCAAACCCATGATATACATTCTCAGCCTTTGCTTCTCTTAGTTAAAGAGGATGAATCTTTTAGGCTCTTTTTTTTTTTTCCCTTTTAGTTGCCTGTATTTTTTTCATGGAGACCAGAACATCGGTGATTAAATTTGCATGCAATATTCCAGCAGGGTGCCAGCCATGCCTTGCATAATGTCATTAAAACTACTCTTTCTCTAAAGAAATACCCAGCCTACAGCAATCCTACTACTGCCTTTCATTTCTGATGGGTGCACCATAACAACAGATCAAGGTCAGTCTGTGATCAACTAATTTAGCCAGATTTCTTTTTATTTCAGTGCAGAGGAAATAAGCAGCAATAGCCAGTGAACTAATTTGTATTATCTGTATTATTTATATACAGCACATGTTCCCATTGCATCAGCTCTGTTCCCAAATTTGCTACTTCAGCACTGAAAAAAAAATCCAGTTAAAAACCTGAGGACCACAATGATGACTCCAGCCAACCTACACAGAACCCCAAAGCAGACTAAAGGTGAAGACTGTGCACAAGAAAGTAAAAGAAGGGATGTTATTTGTAGCAAAATTCACAACGTGCAATTTATTATGGTGTTTTATCCTCATACACCACATACATACGTATATGTCATAACATAATGTATTCATAATCCCACAAAAGCAGATTAACGTAAATGAACTGCAAGATAGTTATATATATATAAAATAAAAATAGTGTGCTAAATACTAGCATCCCAAGTCCACACACCTGGATTCAAAGGTGGTCAAACATTTTTCTTAGAAATACAAGTAATTCAGTGTTATGTATTGGAGTGAATGAAAATTTTGCAGGAAAGTGCTGTTTAATGCAGCAAAACAATCCGTTCCTTTATAATTAGTAAAACTTTTTGAAATTACCTTCCTTTATGTCATGAGCAGTCATGAGTCTAAAAATAAATGGATTTTGGCTTTCTAAGCAAATTATGCCCTCATCTTAGAACACCAAGTGATATAAGTCAGGCTGTAGTTCTCATGCACTTCTGTGATACTCTGAGATATGTGTATCCAGCATGGCAGAAACAGGTTTAATTTCAAAAAATATTATTGTTTTCACTGACATTTTCAAAAACCTTGCAAGTTTTTTTTTATCCTTGTTAGTCCATTTTAGGAGAAAATCTAAAACTCCAGACCTTAACATTGCCTGAAAACGCTCTTATCTGTGTCCATGTTACCAGCAGTAATCCAGCTAGAGAGTTCACTGTTGAACTAAAGAAGAAAAAACAAGTATTTCTATTTTAAGAGACACATGAACCTTGTTGGAATTAAAATACGCTGGAAATGTAACCCTTGCAGTGACAGGAGTCTTTTAAATGGTTTTCTGAAGTTTCAGCGGAGCTGCACATACAAGTAAATTTACTGTCATTGCAATTCCATCAAGACCTTTTAGCTTAAAATCCACCTTCCATGTATATTTTTTGCCAAAAGGGTAGCAAGTAACAATCAACACCTGAAGCAGGGTTTCAGACCTGAAAGCCCTGACAAGTCCCCCCACCAAGTACACTTACAGCCAACTACACATTAATTTTAGCAGATAGGAACCAACATAAGCCTGAGTTTTCCCAAAGCTGAGGCGTACCTGTATTTTTGCTCTGGATTTTTCACTCCTCTTATAATACAAAAAGAATGACTTGCTTAAGTGCCTGGATCGAACTGAACAAAGATGTTTAATCATCTTGCAGTGGTGGAAATGACAGCGTTATGAAATACTAGTGCAGTGTGTTAAAAATCAAACAAACCAATCAACCCCTCCCACTCCAGGAAACTCAGATGTTAGTGGTGGGATATTCGTTTGAATCAGCAACTGTCGCTGCTGTACAACTGAATCTCAATTTATTAATTATTATGTTGAAAATCGAGAATCCTGATTCCTGATTCCTAATCTGCGCCACCTGTTTCAATCTGAACAGTTTACTTTTTCCTACTGGAAAATCTTCCCTCATTGCTTGTGATGTCTATGTTCCCAAAGAGTAATATATGGGCAACTATTTGCTCTAACCAGTTTTATTCCTGATGTATCTGTAATATCATCCAGCTCACCCTTTTCAAGATATTTTAACTGCATCTAATGAATAGTTAAGCAATAACACATTTTACAATTTTTCCTTTCTAGGGCTGTTGCCCTAAAGACAGAGATGAAGATATGAAAGACAGGGAGGATGGAAAAGAAACAAAGTGAGGAGAGCCTTCACAGAGACATGATTGCTCATATGCACTGTATGTGAACTATGGCATAAAGTGAATGAATCTGATTTTGTCTTGCCATATTATACTTCTTCAAGAAGCATCACAAACTGTGGCCTTGGAAGAAACAGAGTACATAGGTTCATCGTAACAGAGCAGCTGGGGCTGTGCAGTGAGAAGCAAAAAGAATTAGAAAGTTCTGCTAATGATCCAGAGTGGCTCTGGCTCCTGCCATTGTTCGTCTCCAGGAAGGGTATCTCCATGTTCTGCACGATGTTTCAGGATGCAGTATTTGCTATGGTCCCATTTCACAGGTATGGAGACTGAGTTCTGGAAAAAAATGAAGAATTTGCTCACAAACTTGACCCATTCCTTAAAATCTTCCTTATGCCTGCCTCTTCTTCTCACTTCCAAAAAAACCCCTCATTTATTTATTCCAAGAGAAAACTGACAAATTCTGATATGTTTTTCCATGTATGCTCAGCTCACCATCTTTAGCCCTCTTCCCTGTGTTTCTCCCCAGTCTCCAGTATCTGACCTCAGTAAATAACCCCTCCTATCTCTCTAACTGTTCCTTCTCTGTGTTCTTCAGTGAGTCCTTGCCTTTTTCCATTCCTCTTTGGGGATCTCCTACAGTTCTTTCTGTTCTGTGCACATCTTTTCTAAGTAAATGCCATCTACAAACATAAATTCTCCCTCCGATTCTATGCCTCACTTCTACCCCTGTATTCTGTCCCTGTGGATGGGATTCATATGTCTGAATGTAGATATTTATTTCTGAACCACGCATTGCAGGCTCTCTGTGTAGTCTGAAAATCAAGGCAAGAATATTTAAAGAGCTGTAGGGTGCAATTAATTCAACTGCTAAAGAACATCTCTAAAATAAAGCAGCTGAATGATGATCTAACTGTGCTTCTTTCCTTTCACTATAAAGGGTAATATCTACATTGTAGCTGTATAAAGTTAAGTGAGATAAATCCTACTCTTTTGTCCTAACTAGTCTATCTCTAACACTTATTTGTAGACATTTAGGCTCAACATAGCTAATATAAAACTAATATTCTCCATAGCATTTTTCTGCTCATTTCTTGTGGACAGAGCTATGAAGCATCTGATCACACGGGACCTGACCTTCGTGTTCTTGGAGTCCTCACACTCAGACTCACAGCATCTTTCTATCTGACATCT